GCAGGTAGGGCGGCGAGTAGGCCGCAGGTAGGGCGGCGTGGGGCCGGGACGGGCGGCGCGCGGGCGTCGAGGGGCCGGGACGGGCGGCGCGCAGTCGTCGAGGGGCCGGGACGGGCGGCGCGCGGGCGTCTAGGGGTCGGTCCGGGTGGCGCGCGGGCGTCTAGGGGCCGGGACGGGCGGCGCGTGGGCGTCGAGGGGCCGGGACGGGCGGCGCGCGGGCGTCTAGGGGCCGGGACGGGCGGCGCGCGGGCGTCTAGGGGCCGGGACGGGCGGCTCACGGGCGGCGAGGGGCCGGGACGGGCGGCGCGCGGGCGTCGAGGGGCCGGGACGGGCGGCGCGCGGGCGTCGAGGGGCCGGGACTGGCGGCGCGCGGGCGTCTAGGGGCCGGGACGGGCGGCGCGCGGGCGTCTAGGGGCCGGGACGGGCGGCGCGCGGGCGTCTAGGGGCCGGGCCGGGCGGCGCACTGGCGTCTAGGGGCCGGGACGGACGGCGCGCGGGCGTCTAAGGGGCCGGGACGGGCGGCGCGCGGGCGGCTAAGGGCCGTGACGGGCGGCTAAAGGGGCCACTAGGGGCCAAGAGAGAGGGGAGCGCGACTCGGGTAGGGGCAGAGTGCGCTCCGGGCAGGAAAAAAAAACGGTGGGCCCTAGGAACAGTTCCCACGAGGGAACCTGCTCGATACCATGAGAAGAGTAGAACGAGAATGGATGAACTATGAATGAAGTGAGTACATATGGGAAACCCTAATTGGGTTGTACCCCCTATGGGATACCCCACTATAGCCTACACAACAGCATAAGCTATATATATGTTCTGACAACAATGTCATTATCACTGACTGGCGCGCATTCATTCGCACACAATGTCATTATCACTGACTGGCGCGCATTCATTCGCACACAATGTCATTATCACTGACTGGCGCGCATTCATTCGCACACAATGTCATTATCACTGACTGGCGCGCATTCATTCGCACACAATGTCATTATCACTGACTGGCGCGCATTCATTCGCACACAATGTCATTATCACTGACTGGCGCGCATTCATTCGCACACAATGTCATTATCACTGACTGGCGCGCATTCATTCGCACACAATGTCATTATCACTGACTGGCGCGCATTCATTCGCACACAATGTCATTATCACTGACTGGCGCGCATTCATTCGCACACAATGTCATTATCACTGACTGGCGCGCATTCATTCGCACACAATGTCATTATCACTGACTGGCGCGCATTCATTCGCACACAATGTCATTATCACTGACTGGCGCGCATTCAAGCATTCATTCAGCTCGCGTGGAGAGACACGAGGGGTGTGACGAGGTGAGTTGCTGCATGCTTCCTCTCCCTCTCCCTCTTTCGTTTTTCTTCGAAGCACTGTTGCTATTACTGAATGAGACGCATTCCTTCCCTGCACCACTGCTCCCCAGGTATGCCTGCTCCCCCCCCCCCACATCACTTCCCCCTTCCGGCCCCCGACGCTTCCCCCCATCGCTCTGCTTTGCCTCCGATGCTGCGTTTCCCCAAATATCCCTCCCACCACCAGGCACTCTGTCCCTACAAGGGAAATCTCACCAGGCTGTCTCGGTTTCTCGTCTGCAACTACCACCTTCCCGCTGCTGCTCTGCTTCGCCTGTGATGCTGCTACCCCCCAACTAACCCTTCCAACAGACTCTCTGTCCCAGCAAGGCCAAATCCACCCGGGCTGCTCACTTCCTCCTCTGTATCTACCCCCCATCCGTTCTGCCATCACTCCTCATCCCCCCACCAGGCCCTCTGTCCCTACAGGGGCAATTTCACCGGGGTGGCTCAGTTTCTCGTCTGCAACTACCATCCACCTGCTACCCTTCTTTACCCTCTTCTGCTCCCATCCCTCTGCCGTCTCCCCCACCAGGCCCTCTGTCCCTACAAGGCCAATTTCACCGGGGTGGCTCAGTTTCTCGTCTGCAACTATTACCCTCCCGCTGCTGCTGTTTAGGCATTGTGGTGAGAGACTGCTACTGTTGCTCTCTTTTATGAAATTGCTGATACGCGTTACATCTGTAAAACCTCAAAATTTACTCCAATACAGCAGGCTGTCTTGTCCGCTACGTTATGCTTTTGTACTGTAAATTACATGCACCGCTGTGGCAATGCTGTACTTGTTACAAGATGGGTATGCGAAGATGGGTATGCGAAGATGGGTATGCGAAGATGGGTATGCGAAGATGGGTATGCGAAGATGGGTATGCGAAGATGGGTATGCGAAGATGGGTATGCGAAGATGGGTATGCGAAGATGGGTATGCGAAGATGGGTATGCGAAGATGGGTATGCGAAGATGGGTATGCGAAGATGGGTATGCGAAGATGGGTATGCGAAGATGGGTATGCGAAGATGGGTATGCGAAGATGGGTATGCGAAGATGGGTATGCGAAGATGGGTATGCGAAGATGGGTATGCGAAGATGGGTATGCGAAGATGGGTATGCGAAGATGGGTATGCGAAGATGGGTATGCGAAGATGGGTATGCGAAGATGGGTATGCGAAGATGGGTATGCGAAGATGGGTATGCGAAGATGGGTATGCGAAGATGGGTATGCGAAGATGGGTATGCGAAGATGGGTATGCGAAGATGGGTATGCGAAGATGGGTATGCGAAGATGGGTATGCGAAGATGGGTATGCGAAGATGGGTATGCGAAGATGGGTATGCGAAGATGGGTATGCGAAGATGGGTATGCGAAGATGGGTATGCGAAGATGGGTATGCGAAGATGGGTATGCGAAGATGGGTATGCGAAGATGGGTATGCGAAGATGGGTATGCGAAGATGGGTATGCGAAGATGGGTATGCGAAGATGGGTATGCGAAGATGGGTATGCGAAGATGGGTATGCGAAGATGGGTATGCCAGTATTCCTCCCAATAGCCATGTCTTGACAGAGACAAAGTCAGAGCTCCACCAGACCCCAACTCCATAACTCATAAAGCTGAGGATAGGAATAGAGGAAAGATATGGTCAGGGCTCTAGATATAGGGGCCCCAAGCACGAAGCCCATGGTTTGGTATCAAGAAGCAGAAAAATACAATTGGAGAAGTGGGGTATCGATCCCCATACCTCTCGCATGCTAAGCGAGCGCTCTACCATCTGAGCTACATCCCCGTGCTGGCTATGAGGCAATATCTTTATTCATTGTTTTTGTGCACCGTTCATGGTCATTCCCTATTTCATGTTTGCTGGCCAATGCTCACACAACCCTTTTCGTTAACAGGTCGTGTACTCCAATTCAGATGATTCCCTTCAATCTATTTCTCACTCCCATTCCTCCCCTCCCTTCTCTCCATCGCCTTAGCCACCTGCTGTGCTGCCTTGACTCCGCACATCCTTTCCTCCCCTACAGTGTACCACATGAATCCTTCATTCCAGCACCCTTTGCTTGACTCCGCACATCCTTTCCTCCCCTACAGTGTACCACATGAATCCTTCATTCCAGCACCCTTTGCTTGACTCCGCACATCCTTTCCTCCCCTACAGTGTACCACATGAATCCTTCATTCCAGCACCCTTTACTTGACTCCGCACGTCCTTTCCTCCCCTACAGTGTACCACGTGAATCCTTCATTCCAGAACCCTTTGCTTGACTCCACACATCCTTTCATCCCCTCGCCTCCCCACCTGCTGTGCTGTTTTCACTCTATCATGTACCACCTAATTTCCCTTACGCCGCTTCACCCTGCCTTCCTCCCTTCCCCTCCCCCCACTGCCTTAACCACCTGCTGTGCCACCTTCACGTGGTATTTTGTCTCGGGCCTAAGGCAAATCTTGAGCAGATGCACTACCTCCTGATGGGGGAAGATGAAGAGGAGGAAAATGGGGCAACGGGAGCTGTATCCTCTTCACTCTATACTCTGCCTCGGGCCTTCCACAGATGTTGTGCAGAGGCACCACCTCCTGATGGGGGGAAGGAGGAAGGACAGGAGGGGTGGACGGGAAGGGGGTTGACCTCCACTTCATCATCCAGAAATGATTTCTACTATGTTTTCGCCTGGCACCATATTTAAACAAGGAGAATGGCTCAACGATTCTAAGGTGTTGTGTTGATGTTCAATAAGCTCCAGTTGGCTCATAGGGCGAGCGAGTGTGATTACTTGTTGCAAGTTCGATTGTATGCACATATCACAATCAATGCATGCTTTCTCATTGGGTATGACCTTTTATCATAACATGCTGAACCAGAAACATGCTGAGCCAGAAACATGCTGAGCCAGAAACATGCTGAGCCAGAAACATGCTGAGCCAGAAACATGCTGAGCCAGAAACATGCTGAGCCAGAAACATGCTGAGCCAGAAACATGCTGAGCCAGAAACATGCTGAGCCAGAAACATGCTGAGCCAGAAACATGCTGAGCCAGAAACATGCTGAGCCAGAAACATGCTGAGCCAGAAACATGCTGAGCCAGAAACATGCTGAGCCAGAAACATGCTGAGCCAGAAACATGCTGAGCCAGAAACATGCTGGAAGATGTGGTGATGTTCATTTCCAAGGGGGCAAAAACAAAATCATTCAATGGAGAAGTGGGGTATCGATCCCCATACCTCTCGCATGCTAAGCGAGCGCTCTACCATCTGAGCTACATCCCCATGTGCGCAAGGTTTTGATGTTTTATTCGAGCTTCTTCGTTTTTCATTCACACCCCTTATTGTTATCAATCTGCTGTGATGCCTCCACTCTCCTCAGTCGTATACCAAACCTACTTTTGAGGTGCCCTTAAAAAAAAAAAAACGGGTCGCACACGTAACTCCTTCAGTCCAGTAAATTCCTGTTACTCTGCTTCACTCCCCCCTTCCTCCCCTCCCCTTGCCCCCACCGCCTACCAAGCAACCTCCTGTGCTGCCTTCACTCTATACTCTATAGTGTACCACTCAATTTCTTCACTACAGCTAATTCTCTTCACTCTTGTTCACACCCCGCTTCCTCCCTTCGGGTTTTGAGACGTCTCATCTCAACATTCAATTCCCTTTACTCTGCTTCACGCTCACTTTCTTCCCCTCCCCTCCTCCCACCGCCTTGGCCACCTGCTGGGCTGCCTTCACTCTGTACTCTGTCTCTGGCCTTCGGCAGATCTTGCGCAGAGGCACCACCTCCTGATGAAGGGGTGGAGAGAAAAGGGGGAAGGGGAAGGGAGGCGGGACAGGAGGAAGGGGAGGGTTCTTGTCTTGGCCACCTGCTGTGCCGCCTTCACTCTGTACTCTGTCTCTGGCCTTCGGCAGATCTTGCGCAGCGGCACCACCTCCTGATGGGGGAAACAAGGGGAGGAGGGTGAAAAGGCAAGGGGAGTGAGATTGGGGTTCATGCCTTCAATCGTTACTCAGTCTCGGGCCTTAGGCAGATCTTGTGCAAAGGTACCACTTCCTGACGGGGGAAGCAGGAGGGTGGAAGGCGGAAAGGCAAAGGGGGTGAGTTCTTATGCTGTGCTGCCTTTAATCAGTACTCTGTCTCTGGCCTTCGGCAGATCTTTCGCAGAGGCACCACCTCCTGATGGGGTTTGAAGGGGCGGCAAAGAGTGAAGGGGGTGGAGAGAGGGAGGAGGGGAAGGGAAGCCACCTGCTGTGCTGCCTTTAATCAGTACTCTGTCTCTGGCCTTCGGCAGATCTTTCGCAGAGGCACTACTTCCTGATGGGGGAAGGGAGGAAGGAGGACAGGGAGGATGGGGCACGGAAGCGAGGGAAGGTGAATGGGGTGGTCAGAGGAAATGAGGGCTATGCTGTTCTCTGGGGGAATGGGGGATCACTCTGTTCTCTGTCTCGGGCCTTCGGCAAATCTCGCGCAGAGGCACCACCTCCTGAATCCTGATGACGAGAAGGGAGGTGAGGAGGAGGGAAGAAGAGCAAGGGAAAGGGAGCTGGGGGTTGAGGGGAAAGGAGGGTTATCCACTTAGGAGAGTTATCCACTTTCACTCTGTACTCTGTCTCTTACCAGTAGTCATGTATCCTCTCACCTTGGTATTGTCATGCCGGTATCGCACCCAGAACCGGCACCGACCCCTTCACGACATGCCTCCTCTGCACGTCCAAAAGTCTCCCCACTCCCCCCAGTGGCACCAAACATGTGACCACCCTCCATCTCACCGAGGTGACTTTTGAGTCGACTCAAAAGTCTCCCCACTCCCCCCAGTGGCACCAAACATGTGACCACCCTCCATCTCACCGAGGTGACTTTTGAGTCGACTCAAAAGTCTCCCCACTCCCCCCAGTGGCACCAAACATGTGACCACCCTCCATCTCACCTCGGTGTTGTCGTGGCGGTATCACACCCAGAACCAGCACCTGCATCCCCTCACATCGTGCCTTCTCCTCTGCACATCCCTAACACACACTGAACGACAATCCATGCAACCCACCCAGAAGCAAAAAAAAAAAACTCATCTCGGTGTTGTCATGTCGGTATCGCACCCAAAACCCGGCACCAGCACCCCCTCACATCATGCCTCCCCCTTGTGCACATCCCGCACGTCAGCACTCACATGAGTAGCAGTATGGCCTCTGTTAGTGTATACCACACTGACCTCGGTGTTGTCGTGCCGGTACCGCACCCAGAACCGGCACCTGCACCCCCTCACATCATGCCTTCTCCCCTGCACGTCCCGCACGTCCGCACTCACATGAGTAGGGCCTCTGTTAGTGTGCATCCATCTCACCTCGGTGTTGTCGTGACAGTAGCGCACCCAGAACCGGCAACTGCACCCCCTCACGTCATGCCTTCTCCACTGCACATCCCTCACATCAGCATCGAAATACAGCGACTTTTGAGGCGCCTCAAAAGTCGGCATCGAAATACAGCACTGTACATCCCACCCAGAAGCATCAATCTCACCTCGGTGTTGTCATGCCGGTACCGCACCCAGAACCGGCACCGGCACCCCCTCACGTCATGCCTTCTCCTCTGCACGTCAGTGGATCCGTGTTCTCACGACCCCCCTCACAAGAGCAGCACAGCACTCACCTCGGTGTTGTCGTGCCGGTACCGCACCCAGAACCGGCACCTGCACCCCCTCACGTCGTGCCGCCTCCTCTGCACGTCCCGCATGTCCGCACCCAGAACCTGCCTTGCATACTGTACCATCCCTCACCTCGGTATTGTCATGCCGGTGTCGCACCCAGAACCGGCACCTGCACCCCCTCACATCATGCCTTCTCCTCTGCACGTCCCGAACGTCCCCAAGCTGAACCTGCCCTTGCATTCTCTAACGTCCCTTACTTCGGTGTTGTCGTGTCGGTATCGCACCCAAAAGCGGCACCGACACCCCCTCACGTCATGCCGCCTCCTCTGCACGTCCCGCACATCAGCATCAAAATACAGCGCCTGGTCAGAAGCTTCCTGGAAGCAGAGAACCACGTCCCCAGGCAGCACGGCGACACACTCGGAGCCCTCGCAGGGGAGGGAGCGCGGGCGCACGGAGAGACGGGCTGACACCCACTCGTCTTCTTCGTCGGCAAAACCAAAGAAACGCACTAGTACTTGCTGCTCGCACATAGGGTGAGAGGGAAGAGAGAGGAGAGAAAAGCAGGAAAAGAAAAATGAAAAGATTGGGAAAAAGGGGTGTATAGACCAGCAGGTGGGTAGGCCGTTGCAGACAGGCAGCACGTCTCATCCCCAGGCAGCACGGCAACACACTCGGAGCCCTCGCAGGGGAGCGAGCGCGGGCGCACGGAAAGACGGGCTGACACCCACTCGTCTTCCTCGTCGGCAAAACCAAAGAAACGCACTAGTACTTGCTGCTCGCACATAGGGGGGGAGGGAAGAGAGAGGAGAGAAAAGCCGGAAAATAAAAATGAAAAGATGAAAAAGGGGTGTATAAACCAGCAGGCGGGTAGGCCGTTGCAGACAGGCAGCACGTCTCATCCCCAGGCAGCACGGCGACACACTCGGAGCCCTCGCAGGGGAGCGAGCGCGGGCGCATGGAAAGACAGGCTGAGACCCACTCGTCCTCCTCGTTTGCAAAGCCAAAGAATCGCACCTGTACTTGCTGCTTGGACGTGGGTGGAGCAGGGGGGGAGGAGGAAGAGGGAAGGGAACACACGGGGCATGAGAGGCCGGCCAAGACCCACGCGTCCTCCTCGTTTGCAAAGCCAAAGAATCGCACCTGTACTTGCTGCTTGGACGTGGGTGGAGCAGGAGGGAAGGCAGGAGAGGGAAGGGAACAGATGGGGCATGAGAGGCGGGCTGAGACCCACTCGTCCTCTTCTTCTCTGCGAGCCAGAGAAACGAGCGAGCACTTGCTACTCGGTTGTGGAGGGGGGGAGGGGGGAATAGGGAGGAGAGGAAGCAGGGATAAAGGGGAGAAATTGGGAAGTAAGGTGTGTAGAGCCACAGGCGGGTTGGGTTTCAGGCAGTAGCAGGCAGACAGATTGCTCCCAGGCAGGCAAGACGGTAGGGAAGGGGGAGCGAGCTTTTGAGGCGCCTCAATAATCTGTCTGAGCCAGCAGGCGGGTTTCAGGCAGTAGCAGGCAGACAGATTGCTCCCAGGCAGGCAAGACGGTAGGGGAGGGTGGCGAGCCGACATCCATTCGTCCTCCTCATCTGCTAAGACAATGAAGAAGCGCACCAGCACTTGGGAGAGGGGGGAGGTTGGGGGAGAGGTTGGGGGAGAGGTTGGGGGAGAGGTTGGGGGAGAGGTTGGGGGAGCAAAGGGAGCAGGGAACGCGCGGAGAAAATGGGAAATAGGCAGGAGGAGACAGGTGCAGGAATTATCCCTGCTGAATCAATCGTTTCTACTTATTGCGACAACAGAACATCTCCTTGCTGACTGACCTAATCCCCTTGCTGACTCACCTCTTCACCGGATTCGGTCTTCCAATGTGCCAGGAGGCTTGCCACGTCATACCTGGAAAGAATGGATGGGGATGGGTAAGAATGGGTAAGAATGGGTGGGAATGGTGAGAATGGTGAGAAAATTGTGATAAGGAGACATAACGAGGAGAAACGGAGAAAGAATTGGTGATAACGTTTTACACAAAACAATGTACACCAACACCACTCTGCATATGCCATACAGCACGCCCTGTTACCATTGATTATGAACCATGCACCGTCACGCACCGTCAAGAACCGTCATGCACCGATCTCCTTTACAAGCAACATGCACCATGCTCCCATATGTACCAATCTCCTTCACCATGCCCCACTCGCCTTACCATGCGCCGTCTCTTGCGGATCGGGCTTCATACTCCATCGCACCCCACCAGCACCTATTAGGACCTACAAGCACCTACGAGAACCTACAAGCACCTACGAGAACCTACGAGCACCTACAAGCACCAACTAATCAGCAACAGGGGCAAGAACGGTTACTAATAAGTACGAATCGCTGTCACCACCACCGTATACGTATTCTGCGCGGCTTCCTGCGGAGCTAACTGTCTTGGCGTTAAAGCGTAGCACAAATGATGTCGGGCCGCTGTAGATACCAGCTCGGTTTGCACACCAACGCCGTTTTAATAACTACTAATTCCAAAGGCTTCCAGACTTCGCCTCGTAGCGTCACGCCGACCCGTATACGAGTCACAAGCGCGTCCCTGTTAATCGCGAGTTTGTGAAAGTTATCGGGTCGTCGTCGGCTTGTGTGTCAAGACGGTCGACGTAGTAGCGCGAACGGCGGTATACAAGAAAGCCAACGCCGCGACCAGTGCTGTCGTGAATAAAATAGGACGGTATGGCAAAAAGACAAGCGTAGAAAAATGCACTGCGCATCCGGGGAATCGAACCCCGGTCAGTACCGTGGGAGGGTACTATGATACCACTACACTAGATGCGCATGTTGGTAATATGTACGTATAATTTTCTGTTTATATCTACACCACCCAAGAATGGTTGCCGAATCTGGAGGTAAGAGCACCAGAAATGCCTAATACGTATAACCAACTCATTTATACAGACAGACATTATAGAATTGTAAACCATTGCGGCAGCGGTGGGAGCACCCCCAAAACCGCCAGCAATCGCGCAGACAAAAACACACAGTAAGCTGCCACAAGAACAACCCCTGTTCTCTTGTCCAGCACCACTCCTCTCCTCCCCTCTCTGCCAGCTCCACCTCCTATAACCCTGCTTCCAGCCCCATCCCCTCCCCCTATCCCACCCCTTCCTCCTATCCCATCCGAATTCCCTCCTCTTTCTCCCAACCAACCCAGCCGAATCAGCACAAAGAGCAACACGAGGAATAGGAACCCGAGGGTGAATAGGAGGGTTGGATCCACAGGCACCACGTAAGGTTCAGGGTATCTGGACCAGCAGGCGAGCACTAAAGACAAGCCCAGGCCGACCAGCGTGTTGAAAAGCGGTCCGGCGAAGCAGCCCGACCAGGCGATCTGCAGCCGTGATTGGTCGCCGCTGGCAGCAAAGGACAAATTAGCGACTAGATCCCCGACGGAGTTACCCCAGGCGAGGACGGTCAGAGCCAGAATTGGAGGGGAAATTCCGAGGATTACACCCAGGGAGACCAGAAGCGCGACGAGTTCGTTCGCGAGGGCGTAGAACCAGACGACGGACATGGCAAAGCTGGCAGTTACCCAGAGTAAAGCGGGTAAAAAGGACTGCGGCGGGGATTCCTCTTCCGTAGTGCAGTAAGTCAGACAGGCGAGGAAAACCCCGAGGGAAGCGGCGAGGATGAATTCAAGGCGATCGGAATCAACACCGAGGACGAAGGTGGTGAAGAGGAGGGGGGAGAGGAGGGAGGAGGCGACTGCAAAGGGTTTGGACCACTCGTCTTTGTGGTGGACGGGGATGGAGCAGAGGAGCGGCAGCGTGAGCGGGAACTTTATGAAGTACTCGCAGAAACCGGCAAAGGTCCAGGGGCGCTGTGCGGTGGAGAGGGGTGGAGTGGGGTGGGGAGGGGTAGAGTGAGTTGGAGTTAGTGTGGTGAGGGAAGGCGGAAGTTGTGCTGAGCGGTGGAGAGTGGTGCTTTACGGTAGGAGTTGGAGCCTGAGTAGAGGCTAAGGAAGGCAGCAGTGGAACGCAAAAAGCATGAAGACAGAACAAAGAATAATATTTTTTGGCCCAGAGAAAACAGGTCAAAGCCCACATCAAACCGCAACACCCCTCACCCCAAACAGCCACTCACCAGCTCTGGGTCTTCCATTTCCTCGTCATAGCCCCACAGTGGTTCTCTCAGCTCGTCTGTTACACTCGCCGCCATGCGGTTACCAGTACCACGAGTGGCACCACCCGCAGGCACACCAGCAGCACTAGCAGCACCAGCCACACCACCAGCACTACCAGCAGCAGCAGCAGCAGCAGTGAATGCATCATCAGCACCGGAAAAATCAGCAGAGGCAGCAGAGTGAAGCACAGGAGGAGCAGTGCGGGACGGGGAGGAGGACAGCGGGGGGGACAGCAGGCGGGGCGGCAGCACCACAGGGCAGCTGCCGCTGCCAGCTGTCACGTCCTCGGCCTCCACGTGGCCAGGTGGCGCGTTGCTATTGGCCGAATTCTCCCGGGAGAAGATAAAAGGGAGGGGGAGGTAGGTGCTGGGGTGGAGGTAGTGATGGGTGTGGAGCCGGGAGTGGAAGAGCGAGCGCTCGTGCGTCCACAGCCAGTGGGGTATCGTTGCCTGTGACACTGGGAGTGAATGAGGGGACAAGGAAAAAGGGAGAGAAAGGGGGAGAAGAAAAGGTAGTGGTGGGTGTGCAGGCGCGAGTGAGTGGAAGAGCAATCGCTCTTTGCGTCGAGAGCCAATGCGGTATCGTAGCCTGGGACACTGGGATGATGATAAGAGGGGAAAAGGAGAAAGACAAGTCAGGGTAGGTGTGGGGGTGGAGATAGTGGTGGGTGTGCAAGCGGGAGTGGAAGAGCGAGCATTCGTGGGCCCACAGCCAGTGGGGTATCGTTGCCTGGGACACTGAAATGCACAAGGGGAAAAGGAGAGGGGGAAAAGACAAAACAAGGCAGGGAGGGAGGGGAATGGGAGGGAAACAAGGTAGTGGTGGGTGTGTAGGCAGGATGAAGGGGTGTAACTGGAATCTGGAATCTTGAATCTGGAATCTGGAATCTGGAATCTTGAATCTGGAATCTGGAATCTGGAATCTTGAATCTGGAATCTGGAATCTGGAATCTGGAATCTGGGGGTGCGTGGCTCCGTTGTTGGCAGGCAGTGGTACTGTGGGAGAGCGCGACAGCGGAGCAGTAGGCGGGTTAGATGGTGCAGGGTAGAATAGAGGACGGATAGAGTCTCAGTTCGAGTCATTCTGCTGTGTACCTGAGCGGATGAAGGGGTGTATCTGGAACCTGGGGGTGCGTGGCTCCGCTGCTGGCATACAGTGGTAGAGCGCGACAGCGACGCAGTAGGCGGGGTAGTGGATGCCAAGCAGGGTAGGGTATAGGCCGACAGATTCTGGAACAGAATCTTGGCCCGAGACAGTTCACTCACCTGAGCGGATGAAGGGGTGTATCTGGAATCTGGGGGTGCGTGGCTCCGCTGCTGGCATGCAGTGGTAGAGCGCGACAGCGAGTCAGCCAGCAGGCAGTCGAGTGGGAGCAGAGTAGGGTAGAAGAAGGTAGGGTCTGGGATAGAGTCTCATTTCGAACACATGTACTCACCTGAGCGGATGAAGGGGTGTATCTGGAATCTGGGGGTGCGGGGCTCCGCTGCTGGCATGCAGTGGTAGAGCGCGACAGCGAGTCAGCCAGCAGGCAGTCGAGTGGGAGCAGAGTAGGGTAGAAGAAGGTAGAGTCTGGGATAGAGTCTCATTTCGAACACATGTACTCACCTGAGCGGATGAAGGGGTGTATCTGGAATCTGGGGGTGCGGGGCTCCGCTGCTGGCATGCAGTGGTAGATCGCGACAGCGACGCAGTAGGCGGGGTAGATGGCAAAGAAGAGCAGTGCGTGGGGTAGATGCACCGCGCGCTGCCGCACCAGCACACACAGGGCCTGTTGCGGGGAGGAGGAAGGGAGTAGAGCAACATGTGAGCGGTTGACAAGAGCAGGCAGGCAGTATGGCAGTAGGCGGGGTAGACGGAAAAGAAGAGCAGCGCGTGTGGTAGATGCACCGCGCGCTGCCACACCAGCACACATAGAGCCTGTTGGGGGGAGGAGGGAGGGAGTAGAGCAACATGTGAGTGGTTGACAAGAGCAGGCAGGCAGTATGGCAGTAGGCGGGGTTGACGGAAAAGAAGAGCAGTGCGTGTGGTAGATGCACCGCGCGCTGCCACACCAGCACACACAGGGCCTGTGAGGGGAGTGGAAGGGGTGGGATGGTGAGGGGTGGGGGTGGGAGAGAGGGTAGAGCAACGTATGGCTGATGAGTGGTTGAGGAGAGCTGGAAGGAAGGCAGTAGGCAGGGTCGATGGAGGAGGCGAGAAGTGAGTGGGGCAGAAGCCATGCGCTGCCACACGTTTGAGGCTTCTCAAAAGTAGATGGAGGAAGCGAGAAGTGAGTAGGGCAGAAGCACCATGCGCTGCCACACCACACCAGCACACACAGGGCCAGTGAGGGTAGGGGAAGGCGAGGGGAGGAGGAGGGCGGCTTGTGTGAACCAGGGGTGATTAGCTAGGGTTGTTCTTTGATGGGGGGGAAGACTGAAGGAGGGAAGTGGCAATACTTACACCAAGGGTGGTGTAACAAGTTGAATCACATTGTGACAATAACGAGGGACGGTACAACAGCAGAAGACACACACCAGGCGAGCAGGGAGGCAGAGATTCAGGTCTGTCACAAAGGAAAACAGGTGCCACTGTGCCCATGTGAGAGGTGAGCAACTGAGTTTGTGACAATAACGAGGGGTGTGATAAGGCAGACGAAAACGCACCAAGACAGCAAGGAGGAAGAAGGTCAGGTCTCGTATAAAGGACGATCGGTGCAACTGGACCCTCGGGGCCTTGCTGGCCGCTACGAGACAAACGGAGCCAGCCACCACAGTGGAGACAAAGCACGCCGCCCCCAAGACGCCGTTGAAGCCCACCAGGCTCTGATGTCCTTTCCCCACAAACGCCACCACGCTGCAAGAGATGGTGAGAGAGGGGGAAAAGGGGGAAAGAGAGGGAATGGGGATGTGAGGGGGAGGCCAGGGATGAGCGGGAAGAGTGGCGACAGCGGCTCTGATGTCCTTTTCCCACAAACGCCAGCACGCTGGAGGAGAGAGAGGGAAGGAGGGGGATGAGGGGGAAGAGGGGCGGGAAGAGTTTTGATGTTCGTTATCTACAAACAGCAGCACCACATTGCAAGAGATGGTGAGAGAAGGGGGAGAGAAGAACGAGCAGTGGGAGGGGGGAGAAGAGGGGAGTTGTGCCACGATTCAAATCAAAGGAGGCGAGCAGGGAGAGAGAGGACCGTTGAAATTGAGGTTTGCAGAGGGAGCGGATGGAGGGAGGGAGAGAAAGAGGGGGTTTGGGGAACGCCCAGAGAGCAGCGGAGCAGAAGGGAAAAGGGGGACTTGGAGGGAGGAGTTGGGGGGGAGGTGAAGACGGGGAGGGGGAAGTGGGATCCGACTCACAAAACTCCCTTTCTGTCATCCCATTCCATCACCCAATCCCCTCTCACCTGCCGAAACACGGCATCGTCGCCCTTCCCCAGCAGCAGCAGCATCACACCATCAACCCCCCAACAACGGCCCCTTTCCCTCGCACTGTCCTGTCTCTCCCTCGCCCTACCTTTCCTCTCTAGCACAAACTGTTGTCGCCCTACCCCATCAACACCCCCATTTTCCATCCTCCCCAACCCCGCCCCCCCTCATTTCTCGCCTGGCGAACACGTCAGGAGTGCCCTTCCCCAGTGGCAGCAGCGTCACCCCCGCTATCACGGTCCCCTCTCCCATCCACCACTTTGTCCCTTTCCCCTTCTACTCCCCCTCAACCCTCCCCACCCGCCCCACCCTCACCTGGCGAACACGGCGGGAGCGCCATTCCCCAGCGGCAGCAGCGTCACGCCCGCGAAAACAACCCCTTTCCCATCCAATACACAACGTTCTCCTTTCTCTCACATACACACCCCCTCTCCTCCCCCTCAACCCTTCCCTCACATCCCTCCGCTTTCTCACCTGGCGAACACGTCGGGAGCGCCATTCCCCAGCGGAAGCAAAGTAACCCCCGCAACAGCGGGCGGCAGCCGCAGCAACTCCGCGAGTTCTTCTAACGAGGGGCAGAAAAAATCCGCCGCGACATTCCCTAGGAGGAAGATCAGCGCCGCCAGCCACGTCAGCAGCAGCGCTACACCCAATACCGGGCTTCCTTCAAACGTGCAGTAGTAGAATTGGAGGTATTCTAGCTGCGCGCCGCTGCGGCAGGCGGCTTCCGCGCGCGCGGCGGCGCACTGCTCCGCGGGGGAGCCGTGGATCGGCGCGGAGCAGTTCCCGGGCGCGGGGTCGTGCGGGAGCAGCGCGGGAATTTTCCGCTTGGGATGAGGGGAAGCGGCGGGAAATGCGGAGATGTTGCGCGGGGAAGCCGCTGGAACGCTTGCCGCTGTGCTTATAACGAGATTGGCTTCGGGTGAATGACTCGACGTGGGAGTCCGTTCAAACCGTCGCACATCCAGTCGCTCAGACTGTCGCTCGGCCTGTGGAATCTCCGTCGCATGGATCTCAATCTCGACTGGCGACGACGAAAGCAGCCGTCTGTTCGGACCGACGGCCGTCGCATCAGACGTTGACGCCAGCGCGGGAAACTCGCTACCGGAAAACGAAGACGCTGAAAACGAGGATGACGAGGAGGCGGAGAGGGAGAAGGGGGCGGAGGAATGAGAGGGAGGGGGCTCTAGTAGCCTTTCTGAGTGGATGGCGAGGGGTTGTAACGGGCTTCGCCAGAGTAACAATGCGATGGCGGTGATGATTAGCGTCAGCTTCACAGCCGTCGACGACCATCGCCGAGCCATCGCCAACGAGCTCACGAGCGGTGTCGGCGAAAGACGTAAAGCGCTGTGAAATAGTTTCGGCGAAAGAGTTGTCAGTCAGTATCCGTACGCTTAGGAATGTCTAAGGCTAACTGTAAGTCGTCGAGAAAATCCCTGAAATTTCCGCGGTATTCAGGTGAATCTTTAGCCGTCCTGCCTAAGTGCCGCTTCCATGCTTCATTATCATGCTTTCCAGCTGCAACCCGGGGAGAAGCTTCAAGATGTAACAGGAGTTTCTCGTGTACACCCCTGATAATGAACTAATGGCACTTCAATGGTAACATATTGGTGACCTGATGTTACCTTGACGGTGCCCTAATGGCGACCTACTGGTGCCATAACAGCAACGTGGTGAAAACCTGACAGCAACCTAGTCCTAAGATGCGTCTGATCTCTCGTTAAAAAGGAAGCAGTGTGCTTTGGATCGAGTCGCGACGCCTCCGATAAACTCCAAGCGTGGACACATTTAACTACTGATACTCCATTCAGATGAGCCAGGCGGGGCTGCTCGTCAGGGAAGCAAGCACAAAGAAAAAAGTCCTCTCGTGGTTTCTAAAAATATTTCTTTGGACAGAAAACCATCGGAATCTCCGTCAAAAGAACGGGCTGTTTTGCTGACGCGAAATCAGTCTCCCTCCGTAAACCAATGTGCGTCGCCACCTAAACCAATGACGGACTCCCACGGGCAACGAAAGTCCTATCACGAGGGGCACGCCGCCATGACTAGGGCTTCACAAAACTGAGAATAATATGGTGAGGAGGAACTGAAATATCAGCACCTCCACTCCGCAAGGATGAGGAGGAAGTTGATGTTCGGTTCGAGGAAAGGAAAGCGGTCTGGTATTCAGTCCAGTCCAGACTCCAGTCGCCGCTCAATCCCTTGATACACAAGAAACGCTTGCCATGAGATGACACATTGAAAGGCGACCGTTGCCAGCACCAGGTCAGCGGACGCGCTTACCCTAGGAGTTGACAACTGAAGCGACCACAACCGACTCAGAACATCCAGAACCGAGTTGTTTCCGGCTGGGCAATACCGTGCCGTGCGCGTACTGGGGGGGGAAGAGAGGGGGGAGAAGGAGAGGAAGGGGGGAGTTTGCCGTGTCAGATTGGATGATACGGTGGTACGCGGTTTTCGTGAAACGAATGGCGTACGGTACAACGACGTTGCAAGTGCACAGTACTTAACAGCTAGGTTGCGTACCGCAGGTACTGAACTGGTGATATCCACCGTCCGTGTACGCTGTACAGTTCAAAAATCATCCAAGAAGTGTGGAGATGAAATCGCGAAGCGTGGGGGCATTATTATCGAGGATTATTACACCACCATTATCCTAGCCTGTCTGTTAGTCAAGATATCCAAACTTCAAGATGTGACACTTTGAAGCTTGGGAGCAGTGTGAGAAATGGGAAGTATTTGGGTTTCAAGGAAACCGTCAAGAGAGAACTAGATGGGTTCTTGGGGCCGCTCACGCTTAGAAGGCATTAAGTTAAAAATGCCCTTCATGAAGTGATCACGGGTTGTTTTGAAGGGTTCAAGAGTTTCTGGTTTAGCAAATAGAATGGTGAGAACAAAACGCCACAATCAAAGAATGCTGGACCACCATTCTCAATGCATATGCCAGACCTGCTGTGCACAGTGTCACGGCATCAACTGCAGGACTTCCAGCAACAATGCTCCAATATGTACAAGTGCCATTTTACAATCCGAGCGAGGTTTGAGGCACCAATGGAGCTAACCTTGAATCATCACGTGGTTGGAAGGTCATCCTGTTGTATTGCATCCAACCATACCTTACCCTGAACAGTTCAAGAGAGCACTTCCTTTCCGCGTATCACTTGTGACGGTTCAATCACACATAACCCCTTATACCTCTATTCTGACACACAGTCTATCCCCTCCGCTGCACTCCCCTCCTCCCAAGCCCAACTCCCAATCAACCCTCCCCTCTTTCAACCCTGAATCTCCATCCTCATCTGTCACCCCAAGAAACCGTCTCAACTCCTGTATCCTCCTTGTATCACCCAATTTCGTATCGTTCCCTTCTCCTGTTAACGCAATCTCCGTCCAAGATTCGCCCATCTCCTGCAATTTCTCCTGACCTTCCCGACCTTCCTGATCCTCCTGACTCTCCTCCCCTTGCGAATGCCTTCTGTACGCCTCTCCAGTTAGTGCTCTTTGCGAAACTACTCCTGCTGGTGGTCTCGTTGATGATTCTACTGCCGCTGGAACCCTTATCCTTGCTACACATGATGACGTATCCACACCTGCTGTTGCTGCTGCCACTGCAGCGGACAAAGCATCTGCTTCTGCTGTTGCCGCAACCGCCGCTGCTCGTGCCGATGGCGACAGTGCGAACGCTCTCGGCGAGGCATCCATTCCTTCTGTTGCTCCAATTACGACAATCTCGTGCTGCTGCTGGATATTCTCGTCAATTTCAACCTGAATGCTAACTCTATCCGCCGCAGTCTCGTTCACTGTCGCCGGCGCGTCGCGTGTCACCAACGGACCCACCTCGTCGCTAGCCGTCGCATGTCCCTCGCTTGAATCGCCTGCATCCGTCGCCGGACCTTGCGAGTCGTCTTGCTGGGCCGGGAGTTTTGGGGGTTTCAGGTTGTATCGGCAGATGGGACACGTGGTATGCGCGCAAAACCATATGTCGATACACGTGGCGTGAAATCTGTGTCCGCAGGACGGCAGCGTCTTGACACACTCCCCTTCCTCGTACTCGCCGAGGCAAACCGCGCACTCGCGAAAGCTTTCGCAGCAGCCTTCGCGAAGCTTTTCGCGGGATGAAGTGAAGGTCGGCAACGCCTGGACGATCTCGGGATCGAGTCATGTCGTCGTCGCTTTTTGCATCGCGCTGAGATGCATCCGACGAAGCATGTATTCTTCTGGAATGATGGCGTGAGTACGGTCGCGATCTCTGCTCTTCAGCACCATGAGACACGCGCGGAACATCATAACGAAGAAGAAGAGGAATATGAAGATTACAACGAATACAGGTAGAACTACACTAACAAAGGTGGAAATTCCCGCGGCTCCGACAGCAACGGTCTGGTTCTGTGCTCCTGCTCCCATGATATTGCTGGTGGTGGACATTCTGGAAAACAA